CCCGCTTCGTGAAATGTTTGCACAGAGGGCTCTTGTTGATTTGCTGGCCCGCCTTCACTTAGGGCGGGCACGAGGCTTGCTGGGGCCTTAGCCCAAAACATATACATCATGGCAAGGCCCCTTCTTGAGGGCTCAATCCTCACATTCCATCCCCCTTAGCTTCGAAAGTCCGCTGAGTTGCTTACTTTCTGGTAAACCACCGGTCTTCCTCTCTAGTATTCTGCCACCACCTGAGGAGCTGTGTCAATCAGTTCCTCATATTCTGCGACGACCTGAGGAGCTGTGTCAATCAGTTCCTCTCTGGTAAACCACCGGTCTTCCTTTGGATCCGTATGATGCCTGAATCTGACGCGATATTCTCTCTTGGGTTTAGGAGGTCTTCCTCTACCCAATGGCTTCTAAACAGGCAAATCTCTGTGATCCACAATGTCGTCGATGTCCACTTGACCATCCATGGTTGGGGGCAGCATCGATCTCCTTGAAGGGAATTGATCAGTCTCAGCGAAAGGTGAAAGCTTTGAGGCATGAAAGACAGGGTGAGTGCGTAGGTGTCCAGGGATACGGATAACATAGGTAGGACCATCTATCTCATCCCCCACTACATCCAGGACTTCCCAAGGACCAAAGTACAATGGCATTAGTTTTCTAGAGATACCGAATTCCTGTCCTAGCTCACTAGCCTTGACCCAGACACGTTCCCCTACCTGAAATGAGGACTGTTGTCGATGCTTGTTCTCAGAAGCAATCATTGCTTGCTGAGCTTTCTTAATATGCTCGACAACTTGCTGCAGCAACTTCTCATACTGCACACCATACTGACAAGTGCCTTGTAGAGAGCATAGAGTTCCCTTTCGTAGGTGGACTTTGCCAGTTTCTTCGATGGCATCTTCTTACTCATGTACTCAATCGGTCTTAACTTTTTCCCATCCTGTTGAGCCAGCATTGCGCCAATGCCGTATTGGCTTGCGTCAGTGGTCACTATGAATGGCTTCTGAGGATCGGGAACCACGAGAACTTCATGATTCATGAGTGCATGCTTCAATCGCTTGAAAGCACCCTCGCACTCATCACTTCAGTCCCATGGCGTGTCAAGTCGAGTTAGATCTGTCAAAGGAGAGGCGACTGTAGTAAGTCTGCCGAGGAGCATGCAGAGCACGTTCAGACTGTACTGTCACTCCTACGACAACACAAGTATAAGGTCAACCTAGAGAAGAGTGACTTTGGTCGTACTAAGATACTATACTTGGGTCGTGAAATATCCGCGGAAGGGATTAGGCCGAAAGATGCGAAGGTGGCTAGTATTCGATACTGGCCACGACCTCAAACAGTCACTAAGGTCAGATCTTTCTTAGGAATGTGCGGCTACTATAGGAACTTCGTAATAGTAGGTGCAGCCTTTCCAAACAGTCGCGACTTATGTAATTCCGGGTGGAGCCTATATCTATGAAGGCACCACATTTGCGGCCTCCTACATCGACTTCCACCACGAAATGTTCCCCTCTAGGACCTTTCCTTAGTGCCACCCAAGATTCGCGAGGGTCCTTGTTTGACCACTCGCTTTCCAGATCTTCTAAGGCTTCAGACACATCTAACGTACAAAGCATAGTTTGGTCTAGATGTGTCTGCGGGTAGACTAAAGAGTCATTAGCTTTGGCCATCTCGTGAAGTGGGGAGGGTATCAGGCCCACTTCACCATGAGTAGAAGCAGCTAATACTTCCACCGGCCTCACGTGTTTCCTGAGCTTGAAGCCTGGGAATAAGGTGCCCCCATCTTGGGAGGTATCTTTTGCGTGACCTTTGCGTTCTAACACTTGTACTGCGAGTGTCCGTATTCCCCACAGTTAATGCAAGCCCCACGCACTCGGCGGTCCCGCCACACGTCTTGATCAGGACCTGCCTTAACCCAATCAGCCACTTTGGTCTGATTGGAGGCGGCCTTCCCTTGACTCTTTGGTTGGCCCTTCACTCGGCCACCAGCCTTAGCCCTAACGACTGCGGCGAGGGTGCTACCCTCAGCGGTCTCCTCGCCGTCGTACTCTGAATAGTCCATCAGGTATGTGAGCTCGTCGATTTCCGTTTGAGTCCCATCGGACTCAACCATCATCAGCTTGGCCCCCTTCTTCTTCCATTCCTGAGGACTCTTCTTCTTCTTCGTATCACTCTGAGAGGGTTGAGCGTTTGCTAGAGTGGCCTCCAAATCTAAGGCTTTCCTAGACAACGTCTCAAAGGAGTGATACTCGAGGCATGCCTCGCTGGCCAGCAAGTTCCTGAGGTTCTCTGGAAGACATCTGACAAATGTAGTCAACAGGAACTGGTCACTATAGTTAATGCCTGGAACGACGATAAGGCTCTCTATGGTAGTCGTAAGCTCTCTGACAGACTTAAACTTTCTTTGGTCTAGTCTGTTTATCGCATCAGTGGCTATTTGTGCCTGCTGAGGATTGTATCAGCGAGCTTCTACCATCTCAAAGAATTGGTCTAAGGTAATAGGTTGAGCCCAGTCCGCCATACGTCGTCCATACCCGGCCTTTGAAACTATACTGTCTAGCCATTTGGCTGCCTTACCCTCAAGGTAAGATGCAGCAGTAATCACCTCCTCCTCTGGCAAGGTCCTCTTCGCCTTCACCCAAACCGGAACTGTTCTCAACCAAGTGTTGAGTTCTTCGTCCTTTCTCTCGCCTGAGAAGGCAAGAGGCGGTTTCATTGGGGTCTTAGGATACCATTGACCTTGTGGCTGTCCCTGTTGAGGAACAGGCTGTTGCGGTGCTGTAGCTCCCACCGCTGGACCCGAAGAAGAAGACACAACAGTCTGTGCGGCTGCTGCAGACGTGCCACTTGGTTGTGTGCCAGCTTGAACTGGAAAGGGGCCTGACATCGCCGTTAACAGCAACGACGATTGTGCTGGTGGCCTAAATCCTGGCCTTGTCAGAATATCCAGGATCTGGTCTAGAGTGCTCTGCATGAAGTCCAATCTGCTGTCCACGTGCGCATGTAACAACAACATATTTTTCTTCAGTACTTTCATCTGGTCAGATAGTCCTAACTCATCCAAGCCCTCTAGTTCAGCTTTGTCAGCCTCTAACGTATCAAGCCTCGCTGTTCTGTTTTTGATCTCTCTTTCTCTATCGGTAGCTTGTTTCAGTTCCCTCTCTAATCGTTCACGGATCCTTTCGACCTATTGGAGCTCTCTAAGCTCCCTTTCGCGAGGAGTCAACGGGCTGAACTGCGCGCCCACCATTTGACTTGTAGACTGCCGAGAACCTAACGAACTGGAAGTACCCGTGGACCCTGTTGGCATTCCCAACTGGGTCCCACTGGTCCCAGACAACGCAGCAGAGGATGTTGCTGAGCTAGTCATGGCTGCTGCCCTGGCTGCTGCTGCAGCCTGTTCCCTAGCTGCGGCGTTTGCTGTTTCCCTAGCTGCTGCTAGTGCATGGGCTCTGCGTTCGGCACGAAGCCGTCTTTTGTCTTCCGGTTGTAAGGCCTGGTACACGTACGGGATCCTACGTGATCTCGAACGTGTTAGTCTTGCATCGTCAACTGCCTCCTCATCGATGTCTGACCCGTTCATGAATTAGGCAAACATTATCTGCACTAGAACCCCCTGTTGGGGTCCTACCGCAGCATGTGTCTGACCGACACCTAAGTTTCTAAAAATAGTTGTGTCCGGCAGGTCCCCTACTTGACCGATCAAATGCCATTCTACAGCATTCACAACAGATTGTCAACATAGTCTAAATGTATTTTGACTGGTTCACTTACAGCAGCACTAGACAGAAACTGGCTATGGTAGTATACAACAGTCCTACTCTAGTCTGTTTGTGAGGTGTTAGCAGTCTGTCCACCAACTAATCAAGAATACAAAAAGACCATGTTTCAGATGTATGAATGGTGGGTATGGTTGTGTATCCAGTTGAGCACCAATTAGAACCTACCCTTCCCCTCAATCCAACATACCGGTAAGCATCATTCAGCAGCGGTGTCTTTCGTGTGTTTGTCGGCCCACCCTTGTGCCCAAGTCGTTGTCGAGCAAGCCACCCAGTCCACTCTTATTTACCCTCGTACGGAACGAGCCTTACACGCGGTTGATCTGGCTGATCAGGAGGAATATTGAGAGCGCCCCCATCTCTTCAGGAATTATTAAACGTCGCAGTCAGGACGACGATCACAGCCAGAATCAACCAAGTCCCCAACCAGAAATGTTTATAGACGGTCTGGTAAGCGTCTCATAAAAGGCTGGCACACCCGACAGGACTTCTATTCAGTGCAGCAAGTGCCAAAATGGACAGCAGCCATCGCATGCGTGACCTACTCCCATTGGGTTGGCATGGTGACCGTGACCCAGTGCTTCGACCAGGGCCCTTCGGAGGCACCGCCCATTCTCCTTCCAGATGCTTCCGGGAAGATTGTCGTCTCTCAAGGTAGCGCGCTCACGACACCTCACCAAAAGAGAGGACTCTCAAGTTGGACTCACTTCCTCACGGTAAGAAGAGATTGAGAGAGTAGATAAGGTAAGGGAACAACGTACCTAGAGATAGCTGCCCCCAACCACAGATTTCTCACCAATTGAGCTGAGTGTGCATTTGATGACCGGTTTTGGCCTCGGTACCACTCACAACGCAATGCAGTCCCACCTCAGTCGAATGCCACATCAGCATGCTCTCATCATCAATCAAACATTCCGCTGTATCCCACGGCATACAATGCCGGAATAGCCTTCCGGTGCACCCCTCTCTACCCAGGGCGTGCGCCTATGTGGTCTGACATCACAAGTACCAACTGCGAAGAAGCATCGTCAACGCACCAAGTCTGTATAACGCCAGCGTGCCAGAGGTAAGTGGCGAATCAAACCAGCTCCGATACCAAATTGCAAGGAACATGAATATGGACGAAGCACAGAAATCCAGATTGCAAAATCACATTGAAGTCCATATAGTCAAAGCCAGAGCAGACAACACAATGGAACCGAGTAACCATCCATTTGAGAATGATACAGAAGAATCGTGAGTCAATGTCCATGCCCAACAGGGCAACACCAACAGCATAACCC